TGCACGCGATAAGTATTTAAATTTCATTCTTTAACTTTTACAAATTTCTAAATATCTTTGAACAGGGCTGCCGTGAGGAGGAAGGGGGGCAAAGGGGGCATACGTGCCCCGGGCGCCCAGATAATAGGGGCACTAAAAAATGATAAAATTTTATTTTTTCAAGTGTCTTTACAATGTTTTACTTTTAATTTCAATGTTTTGTGATTTAATATGATGTTTTTATAGCATAATTTCATTAAATAAATTAAAAGTTTAATTAATTTACAATGGCGGTTTTCATGTTTACGGATAATAATGTTTAGTGGAGCGAGTTTTTTTTAAGAGAGAACTATTTTTGTATATATGAAAGTGACGACGTATTACATTTTGGCATATAATCTCACGAAAGTATAAAGTGCATATGTCAATGTCACTCTATGCAATGTCACTCTATGCAATTGCATCTCAAATGGCAAACCTGCTTATTTAAAGGTGAAAATCGAAAATAAAAAAATAAAAAAAAGGATAAATTAAAATGTTATTTTAAAGAGATAAAAATTTTAAAAAGTAAAAGTAGAACAAGGCTAAAATATATGAATAAGTAAATGCTAAATCAAGCTATATCTTTGATAAATTTTTATAAATCCTTTGACACTGTTGTGCTTTTGACCTTTTGATATAAAGATATCAAGTAGTAGATTAAGTTAGCCGTTTGTTCCAGGCAACTTCACTAACAATAGATGACGAGGTTATTCTAATTCAACAACTAATAAGCGATCTTGGCCGCTTCCGCTCATCATGAAATAATATTTTGACTGAAGCAAAAGCTGTTGCAGGTCCACTAGGCTTTGAAAAGCTCGTGAATTAGCACAGTTATACGCTAATGATGTCAAAGAAGACAACTTTATACAAGACATTTTGCATCTTAATTGTTTGAAGGAGTCTTCGTTTTTTATTCCTAGAAACTCGTTGAGCCTTCTTAACCAAATACATTCACAGAGTCTGCAGCCTATTTTTCCATATGTATGCATCTTAATTCGAATTTTTATTACAATGCCAGTATCTTTTGCAGAGGTCGAACAATCCTTTAGTACACTAAATTGATAAAGAAATATTGTAAGGCTACTATGGGACAAGAACGTCTTTTGGATCTCATAATGTTTTCAGAGAAAAATGAATAGGATGAGACTCTTTCATATGATGATACAATAATAAATTTTTCCGGTAAAAAAGCAAGAAAAGAGTGTTTTATGTGGGCCGTTTTTCGTTATTTAAATTTCTAAAGAATGTCTAATAATGCACTTTATGTTGTATTGGCGTTGCTTAGTTGTATTTTTTATAGACGCATTTTTTGAAAATTTTGCCGTAAAATGATTTTAACAGAAATAAACCACAATTAAGAAAATTCATTTTAAAACCGTGTACAGTCATATATATTCATGAATAAATTCGATAAATTTTTTTAAAATCATATATGCTTAAAGAGGCCTCTACTCAACGCTATGCCCAGGGCGCCACAAAAGCTCTCGGTGGCCTTCCTCTCGGTGGTGTCTTTGAATATCTCTTTAATCATTATAGTAAAAAGTATAATTATTGAATATACACTTATTTATAAATTTTATTTATAATTGTATTTTTTAATTTTTCGATCTATTTTTATAGTTACTAAAGTTTGACTTTTTAATGTTTTAGTTAATGACATGTTTTGTTTTGTAGGTGATGTGTTGAAATTGTTTCTCGACAAGCTCCTAATTATATAGAAGCTGAAGATGACCTTATTTTAGATATAAGTAAGTTGTTTTTTGTTTTTATTGCTTTTTTTTTGTCAGATACTCAATCATGTTTTACATGAATCTAATAATTTAGTACATTGTTATTGTCTGGTGGTGATATTCAAGTTAGATTTTATTAGATTAATTTTACTTTTAAAGAATCTTTCAAATTTACTTCTTAAAAAAATTTACATTTGCTTTTTTTTTAGTTTTTTTTTTTTTTTTTTTTTAATTTTTTAGTTTGTTTAAAAAGTAAATAACAATATTTTTTAAAATTGTTATCTTAATTTTAGTGCCATAGCTTATCATATAGAGTAAAAGTACCACAAACGGGACACAAAAAAATTTTTTCAATGTTGAGAATTTATAGGAATTTTTTTCTGCAATATAGTTTATTTATTAAACCAATTCTGTAGTTTAAAAAAAAAAAAAAATTAATTTCAAATTTCTATGGAAAACAAGATTTTTTTTTTTTTAAAGTGTCCGCTTTTCAGAAAATTGTCCCTAAAAGCGGACAATTTTCTGAAAAGTTTCTCCAAATTATATAAAAAAATATAGATAAATTGATAAATTCAATATTTTTATTTTTAAAATATACACATAATAATAATACAACTGCAACTAGATTTTTCACAAGTTTTCCATAAAACTTGCATCTCTGGCATTTCATTTTCGAAAACATTTGGGCGCTTTTTTTTGGCTTTCTTGGCAAGAGTTTCTACATCTGCTGCTGCAATATCAACATATGTTTGTTTTAACAGCTTTGCGTCTTCTTCTTCCCTTAACTTATTTAACAATGCTTCTTCTGTAAAAGCTTGACCAGCCACTGTTCTTACATTTCTGGTTTTTTTTGCAGGATGCTTGTAAACATTTTGGAATTGAAATTGCTTCAAGAGAGCTCTTTCAAGACTAATTTTTACACGAGTTGCCAATTCTTCTTGATAAGTTATATTTAAAGTTGAAATTGAAGTTGAAGTTGCAGGCGGAAGTTGACTTTGGTATGCGGTAGAATTGAGCTGCGCCTCTTAAGCTTTACTTGCCATTTTCAATCTTATTCAATGCGTTTTTATTGTCTCCTTAGTGTAAGACTTCTCGTTTGTTTTATCTTTTGCCATTTTTAAGTTTAGTAAATTTAATTCAGTTACAGATTTTTGAAATTGAAGAAACGAAGCACTTTTGTGGTTACTTTGTGTACTTTTTCACTTTAACTTCAAAAGTATAAGTACAAAAGGACAAAATTAATTAACACAAAAGTGGAAACTTAAAAAAACCAAATGAAAAAATTTCAGTCAGTGTGAAAAAATAATAAAATAAATTAACTTTAATATAATAAAAAAATTCAATTAGAGTGAAAAAATAACAAACAGAAAAAATGATAAACAAAACCTATTAAATTTTAATTTATTATAGGGTGGATTTATTGTATACGGTTTAAAGTGAAAACTGAAGAAAATCTTTTTTTTTTTTTTTTAATTTATTTATTTATTTATTTATTTCGTCATTAAATGAATAATCTTTTACAATGTTTTTTTTAGTACCGAAGCTGCAATTTTGCCGAAGCCGAAGCTTCGGCCGAAGCCACTTTGCCGAAGCCGAAGCTTCGGCTTAAGTTATACGTAATTTAAAGCTCAATTTACTTCACCACGGTGATTTGAATAATCAAGTTGCTTTTAAAATTATATATCAATGTTTTAGGTTTGAATGTTTTGGCCTACATACCCATTTTAGGAAAATTATAAAACAAAACCAATATTATAAAAAATTTAAACAAATTTTGTACAAAAATTTAGAGAGTGAAATTTAGAGTCTTAACTTTATATATCTAGCAGGTATAGGAAAGATTACATCACTAAATCTTAGACATTTACTGATACTTAAGGTAATTTATGGTCTATTCTGTGAAAGAATTTATAAAAATGTAAACACGTAAAATGTAAAAATATAAAAGTAGTCATTATTTTAATTTGAACATAAAATTTGGTATTTGTTTTAAATTTTGTTAAAAAGTTGAATCAGTTGAACTAAGAAGCTACAGTCTATTATTTAGTTAATAATAATTTATTCAATGAAAGCAGGCATATTACAATTTAAAAATGCAATCTGTTCTCTATGTTCGGGTAATAGTCTGTTTCTTTTTGCTTCAAATATGTTTCCAGATGTGCTAAATAAGCGTTCACTTTTTACAGATGAAGGAGGCGCGCACAAAACTTTCTTTGAAAACTTTGACAAATTCAACTTGTAAGTATCTTTATCAGAGGAAGTGTAACGGTATGCACCCCACCACTTATAAGGGCATTCATTCTTTGGCAGTATTGGAAGGCTCAAGTAGAAGTTGACTTCATCGGTGCTGATACATAAAATATAGGTGATAATTTTAGGCTTAAATTTTTAAAATATTTCACTTTAATCAACTAAACAAAATAAAAGAATGCTGTTATCCGTCTTTTGAAATATAAAAAATGGAGATTGAGAATAGAGATAAAAAAAATATTTAATATTTAATGTATAAACAATATAAAAATCATAAATAGATTCTGTTTTTTTACCAGTTTTCTTTGACAGTTAGAGTTTTTTCCATTGAACTAGTGTTTTTTTTCTTTTTTCTCCGTCCGTCAGAATTTTCTGAATTTTGTAGAGCATACTCATTTGCACCGATTTGGTGGAGCAAGCTATATATGTCCATGCTTATTAGTTTTTGTTTTTTTAATAGAGAGCCATGGCCATCAAAATCTGAGTTGGACTTATGAACTTTAGATTCTGAAAATAAACTTAATGATTCTTCTGAGTCTGATCCACTACCTCTTGCTACACCAAATTCAATTTCTTTTACTTGTTCTAAATGAGATTTGGAACAAAAACGGTAGAACTCTAGATGGAGTATTTCTTTAAACATATTATGATTCTTGTCTTCAACAAACTTTAACTTGAAACGAGGATCAAGCATCATCGTGATTTTTAAATCAACATTATCCTTGTATTTTTGAAAACGACAGTTAAAATCTTTCTTAAGTTCATCAACAACAGTTTTTATTTCAGTTGCCGTGTCACAAGCGTAGTCTAGAAACTTTTCCATTGCATAGATAAATGGTATAATCTCTGATATACATGCAGTTTCTTTACTCATGTCTTTTGTAGTACTTTCGAAGTGTTTTAATATGCATACAAGCATTTCAGCAAGTTGCCATTGATTTTCCGTAGGATTTTTTGCATTTGTTTAATTTCTGGTAATGCAATACAATGTAATTTAATTTAATTTTTCTGCTCAATGAACCTTTCAAGCATATAGTATGTCGAATTCCATCTTGTGGAAACATCTTGAATTATGTTATGCTCTGGCAATTTTAGTTGACTTTGAATTTCCTTTAGTTTAGCCACAGCACTAGATGAGTGGTGGAAATGTCCTGCTAATGCTCGAAAAACAGCTATTGTATCACTTGCTGTTATTTGTTCTCTAAAGATCTTTTTCTGAATACAAAGTTGTAAAGTATGTATCAGACATGGAAGATGTTTATTGCCCAAATTTGACTCTTTAATGGCAGCCATTACATTGGCTGCATTATCAGTTAAAACTGCATGAATTTTTTCTTGGGGAATTTCCCATGATTGTAGCGCTTTATTTATGAATTTATTTATATTGTGCCCTGTGTGCGACTCAGGGAAGTGTGTAACTTGTAAGATGACATGTTTAACTGTAAACTCATGCGTTACAAATTTAGCTGTTAAACTGTAATACGATTGAATTGTGTGCTGACAGGTCCAACCATCATTAGTTAAACTTAGGAAATCTGCTTGATCAAGCTCATATTTTACTTTGGCTTTTATGGTTTCATACATCAGTGGAATGACTTTTGTGGAGAAATACTTTCGACTAGGTATTGTATAGTTTGGAGCTAAATTCTTTAAAAGTCGGGTAAAACCTTTATCTTTAACAATACAGTATGGCTGCAAGTCTAAACATATCATTTCTCCAATAAGCTTGGTAGTAGCTTGAGCCTTAGGATTATCAAGTTGCCACAACTCTTTTCTTTGCAAAATCTCCCGCAGTGAGACCTGAAACAAATTCAACGAATTAAAAAAATTACTTAGCAATTTGTAACTAACAATGGCCAGCGATGGATCTAAGTGGCGGATAGAGGTATGTATCTTTCCCCCCTCACCAGAACATTTATTATAATATTATAAGCTTAGATAAGTTAACTTTTTCTATACAAAAGATAATTTTTCGACAAGACATACCCCCATCCAGTCACAAAATCATGAATCCTGAATAGTAAATGAATTCAGCTACAGTTAGCTGAGTTACCTGTGTCGATGCTTTTTGAAAAAAAGGAATTGTGTTATTAGACACACGCGAGCTTCCCTGCGTTTCATCTGTGGCAGAGCTGGTAATGATTTGCACTGATTCAGCAGAGCTTGTTCTATCTGAGCATATTGTTCGAGTAGTGCAAAATTGTTTTATAGACTTTTCATTTGGATTTGGTAAAGATTCGTGGTTAACAATTTTCTTCTGAGAAAGAATCTTGCTATGTATATTGTAATGTACTTTTTTCAGATGGTTTTGTAAATTTGTTGTTGACATGTTGTGTGCGTCTTTACTTCCTCTAGACAAAATCTTCTTGCAAAGTATGCAGATGGCTTTGCCAACATCTTCATCACTCACTTTAAAATAATTCCATAAGGGAATTTTACTTCGCGATGAGGTAGCCATAATGCACTAATGGATAACTTAAAGTTATAATAACAATTCTGAAAATTAAAATAGAAATTCTAATTATTTTCTTACCTTTAATAATATTTATTGAAATGAACAGTATTCGTTCAATTTTTTGATTCAAATATTATTTGAATTAAAAAAAATCGAAGTCGTAAATAACCAATTAACCTATATTTGTAGAGCAGGTATATTTACTTTTACTAATGATCCAGCGTACAAAATCAAAACAAACGCAATCGACTTACATTTCAATTGTGCTTTTCTGTGTAGTGTCTTTTCTGTGTAGTGTCTTTTCTGTGTAGTGTCTTTTCTGTGTAGTGTCTTTCTGTGTAGTGTCTTTCTGTGTAGTGTCTTTCTGTGTTCTGTCTGTGACTTAGTAAAACAAACTTTCTGAATAAAAATTGTTTCGTGCGTTAAAATTAACTTATTGTATAGATTTTTAAAAATTTCGAGAATAGTTAACTCTCTCTCCGGATTTTAAGTAATAAAAAACATAGCGCACTCTCGTGCGCTATGTTTCCGGAAATTTAAAATCCGGAGGTTTTAGTTACATCTAAGTAATTTCAAATGAAGATTTATTTCCAGGTTTAATTTTTAATTTTAATTTAATATTAAAAAATATATAATTTAATATAACTCGGATTTTAGAAGTTGATGCTAACTAATAACTAAATGCTAAAAAAATTGAATTTTAATTATTTTTCATTATTTTACTACCAACTAATGCATAAATAAATTTTATTGCTAAGCTCGAGTGAGCATAACTAAATATTAGGGTTATGGTATTTAATTATATAAAGTTTACTATAATGTTACAGTTTAAATCAGCTTATATTGAGTAATTATAAAAAAAAATCAATGTGTTTCATTAAGTAACTTTACTTTCTATCCGCTATCGTGCCGTTTTTGGCCGCCCTACACACGGCCTTGCCACCTCCAAAAGCCGTTGCTTGATTCATTTAATCTTCACAACTGTATAGATCAGAGGCTTATTTAAATTTCTCAGAAGAAGAAAAGAAAAAGAAGAATTTGAACGTTCAACTACGTTTTATTCGGAAAACAGACGTCGTGTGAACGTTTAAAAAATGTCTTCCTCAGTCGAATGCCAGCTTAGTAATGTCCATTTTTTTGCCAAAGCCAATGATTCGGCAAAAAACGCCCATGGCTTCGGCCGAACCGAAGCTTCGGCAAAATTGCCGAAGCTTCGGTAAACCGAAGCCGAAGCCGAAGCTTCGGTACATCCCTAGTTTTTTTACAACATAAAAATTATAACATTAAAGTTTCGACCGGAGCTGGCAGAAGACATGATCTTATCATCCAGCCCCGTTAATATAACTAAAAAATTCAGCCGATAAAAATGGAAAAGGAAAAAAGAAACTAAAGCAAGAACTGATTTTAAGAAGAAAAGAACTTAAAAATCAAATTATTATCTACAGAAAGAGAAAAAAAAAATAATAATAATTATTTCTTCTCATTATTATAATTTTTTTTAATTCTCTATTTTATTCTACTTTTATTTTTATTATACACGCACACACACACACACGCACACGTACACACAAATATATGTCCGTTCATATATACATACAAATCAAATAAATCTGTATTACATTCCATCTACAAATTGCGTAAGATTTCCGTAATAACTTTTTAAAGGAGTAAGATTATGAAATTTTAAAACTATTTTTGAAATTAGAAAAATATTTCCAACAAAATAGCTTCCTTTGTTTTTAAATTGTCTTTTTAAATCTTTCATGCTAAGAACCTAATTTCCAAAAAAAGTTAGATTTTTAGGGTTAGGTTTTGTTTGAACTTAAATATCTTATTGAAGCAATCATAAAAATATATTTTTTTAAAAAATTAATAATTTTACACACAGTAAAAATGAAAAACTTTTGAAAATTTTTCAAATATCTTTATTTTTAGTGAAGATATTAAGTTTTTTCGATAAGCGTCCGCTTTTTCGCACTGTCTGGTTTGTGGTACTATTACTCTATTGTAAGTTTTAAATTCGAATTTATCTCTATTTTCAGTTTTAAAGTTTGTATTTATTTTAATGTAACGAAGTTATACATTTACTTTGTCGTTTAAATAAAATGTGTTTGTTTTTCTAAGTTGTTGTAAATTGCAGTTTGTATTTTTCTGCCCAACGATATGGGTTCCAATGGAGGGGCACAATAGTCAAATTCTAAATAAAATATTCTATATCTAGAATAGGCAATAAAATTTCCCCTCTGGTTATTAAAGGGATGAAATTACTTTTACCAAAAGTGTATTTTGAGAAGTTAATGTGGGCAGCGGAAAATACATAACTACATCTACAAATAAAAGGGGTATTTGAATGTGTTTAGTTTTGTATGTATATTTTTACTGATCTATTTTTTAATTTTGGTTTGTAAATAAATATATTCTTTCAAAAACACCAATTTTTTTTCTTTTAATATTGATTTAGTTAAAAATTGAGTTTACTAAAAAATTTGTTAAAAATTGTAGATTTTGTTTTTACACTTAACACCATCAAAATTTAAGTCAACAGAACATGCAAAATATAATGATTCGAGAGTGCTTCGAGATGATTCGATAATGATTCGAGAGTGTTTCGAGATGATTCGATAATGATTCGAGAGTGTTTCGAGATGATTCGATAATGATTCGAGAGTGTTTCGAGATGATTCGATAATGATTCGAGAGTGTTTCGAGATGATTCGATAATGATTCGAGAGTGTTTCGAGATGATTCGATAATGATTCGAGAGTGTTTCGAGATGATTCAATAATGATTCGAGAGTGTTTCGAGATGATTCGATAATGATTCGAGAGCTGCTGTGACAGTGTTTATGATACTCCATATCAAAATAATTGTCATTGAAAAGTTTTTGAACACTTTATTAATTTTCATAATAATCATCGGTTATCACAGGTATTCATAGGTCTATTAAGTATTTGCAATATGAAAGAAAATTATTGTTTTTAATTAAAAGGATCACACTTAAAAAAAAATTAATAATTTACAAAATTATTTTTTTATTTTTTGTTCACTATTTTACAACTATGTCTTCATTATTTTGTGATGGTAGAGTTATTTTTTATGTTTTTAACTGCAATTATTATGTATTAAAAACATTTGAAAATTAGTTGTTATTCTATTTCTTTAGTTCTACTTTGGTGCTTTACAGACTATTATATGTTTATTTTGTCTACTGTTAAAGTTTTAACTTAGTAAGCTTTAATTATTTTAAGTTTACTATGTTGATCATAAGCTAATATTTTGAATAAAAATTAGTTGTTTGAATAAAAATTATTATTTTACCACGCCCCCGTTAAATATTCAACATCGAATGTGCAACAACAATATAGTTTTTGATAACCATCAAAATAGTATTATACTCTATTATTTTTTGGCTTTATATACTTTTTGGCTGATCCTATATCTAAACTTTAAAATAAGGGATCGTCCATAAACTATTCAACGCTAAATTTCACAATTAAAGAAAACAAAAATGTTCAAAATTTTTCCTCGCAGTCGTATGTTAAATAATAAGCTTATTAAGTTAAATAATGTATATAAGTATATACAATTATATATTAAGTTAAAAAATGTATATATTAATATAATATTTATATATATAATAATTATAAATATAATAATTAATATAAATATATATTAAGTTAAATAATGTATATAAGTAAATAAGTTAAAAAATATATGTTAAATAATACAGCTCATTAAGTTTAATGAAAATCCCCATCCTAAAGAAATGAAGATTTTTTCTACCTTTTTAAAATAAGTATAGCATTGCATAATTTTTGGGCGATTCCTTAGTGTTTTATTGTCTACAGTTTATAATGCTCTAAGATCTCCTTAGTTCTGCTATACTGTTATAAAATAATACTTCTATAAAATAGTATATATATATATATATATATATATATATATATATATATATATATATATATATATATATATATATATATAATATATATATATATATATATATATATATATATATATATATATATATATATATATATATATATATATGAAAAAGTAAAGAAAAGGTCAGTGTGGAATAGACTTACAAAGACCCGTATTTTTACGGGTCAGATCAGCTAGTTCTAAAGGACATAGCTTTGCTATAACTAATGATTTTTAAATAGAGTATTATCAAAATTTGTCCAAAGGAAAATGATTGTGTAGCAATTGTTAATAATTGTCTTAAGCGAATATTCTAGGCGTTGTTAGTGCAAACGTTAGCAACGTTTTGGCAACTGCAAATTCAAAAAACGTTAAAATAGTAAAAAACCTTCAACATGCGCGATTCAAGTCTTTAGATATTCATGACTTATTTTTAAGCTAAAAGTAATTTCAAAACAATATCACAGCAATTTATAAAAAAAATTTCAAAAACAATTCCAAAACCATTCCAAATAAATCTGGGTTATAAACAATCAAAGCAATCTTACTAGAAAATCTGCATCATTGTTTACTTAAAATTTAAGGATGACAGAATTGGGAGTTACGAAAGACATTAACTTCAAAAATATTAAAAACAAGTCACTCAAAACAAAAGTATGAGTTTTAAACTCTTTTATTATTCATGTATGTACGTTTTTGAGCAACGGTAAGAAATAAGATTTCTGGTGTAGGTTTTGAACGCGATGCGCTAGAAAGGAACTTTCCCTATGACTTATTAAGTACTTACGGGAAATTTTTATTTATTCCAACCATTACCTCGAGATAATGCTTATATGCTTTACACTCACTATTGTTGTCTGTATGTCAAAAAGGTGTTTAAAAGTAAACTTCTAAACTCGCTTATAAAATCTTCCGATAACGGCGGAAGCATTTAACTAACTGTGAAAAGGAAAAAAAGAGTAAAGGAAAAGTGAAGGAAATTTTTAAATAATAAAATAGATTAGTTAGAAATAATGTAAAAAAAGAAAATATTTTTATTGTAGTTTTTTGTTTTTCTATTTTACCAAATTTTTTATACC